CCATTATTTTCATATAGATAGAATTGTACTTCAAGCTTATATTCTTAACTTTCAAAGTTCTTTACATGTCAGCTGTTTCTGCACACCTCCTTCACCATTTACTTAAAGTTTATGGAGCCAACTTTGTCCTCAAGCCCAGACTATAATCAAGCTATTCTCTGTTGAACAAAGATGTCCTCTTAAGGAATGATTGTAACCAATACATAGTTTTACCATTTTTAATTCCCCATCAAGGAGTTTGGATTATTTCTCTTCCCCTCCTATTTTAATTTAAGCTCTACATTTTAGAGCTAGAAAATCATCCTGATCATGGTTAATAAATATCAGACGAGGACTGGTGATATCATAAGAAAAGAGAAGAATGTACAAGTTATGATGTGCAATTGGGCTTAATGAAAAATAGTGATGCCCTTAAGACTGTTCAAAAATTCCTTTCAAAATTTCCACAAAGCCACCGTCTAATTCCTGAATCTTGTAAACGGAGTATTGATAGTGAAGTGACAATAGGAAAATTATGAAAATGTTACTGTATAATTTTTTGTCATAGAAAATGTTTCCAACCAGAAATCAAATTCTGACATTTAGATATGATCTTGGGCAATAACTTCTCTATTGGGTTGAAAAGGGTTAAATGAGATAGTGATTATGAACTGCATTGGTCTCTGACGTCACAGAGCTGTCGGTGCTGACGACTTCTTCCAGATTTTTATGTGAGAGACAAAGAAACTTGTATCTTATTCAAATCTCTGTTGTTATGGGGTTTCTTTCCCTTGGAACTGAACTTAATCTTAACTAATAAAAGGTCTCATATGGCTCTTATCATATAATTGTTTCTATTACTTGGCACTTCTTAGGTTCCAAATTAAACCATGAGTTCCTTGAGAGTGGAAACCATTATTTATACTTCTTTTGTATGCTTTGTAGTATCTGTCACTCAAAATATTTGCTTAGTTTATATTTTTTAATTGAATAATTTATGACACGAATGATGCACTTAAATGAACTTTTTATTATGGAAAATTTAAAGTAGTTATAAAAGTAGACAAAATAGTATAACAAACCCCCATGTACCCAATATCCAACTTGAACAATTATCAAATTATGGCCAATATTGAGTTATTTGTACTTCCCACTCTCCCGACATCTGCATTTTTTAAAAGACAAATCTCAAACATCATATTATATAATTTCGTCTGTAAATATTTAACTATGTACTTCTAAAGATAAAAAACTCTTTTTAAAAACAGCCACAATATCATCGATACTGAAAAAATGAACAGTAATTCTTTAATATCATCAAACACTCAGTATGCATTTGAATTGCCAATTATCTGAAAAATGTCGTGAGGTTTAAAAATCAGTTTTATTGAGATGCATTTTACATACAACAAAATATACCTATTTAAGGGCACGGTTAAATGATTCTCGACGCAAGTGTACACTTCTGCAGCCACTGTCGTAATGAAGACATGGAACACTCTCATCACTACAGAAAGCTGCCTGGTCCCCTGCAGTCAGGCCCACCTCGGCTCCCCATCCTTAGCCCCAGGAAACAGACCAGCTGCTTTCTGTTGCATCGTATGTCATGTGTTTATGTATATGTATGTGTGTGTATATATATGTGTGTCTGTGTGTGTGTGTGTGTGTGTATTTCTAGCCACTGAAAACATTTACTGCTTATAACTAATTTTCAGCAATTGGATGATGACGTTGTTTGTGTTTGTCCATCCTGGGTATCACTGAGCTTCTTGAAATGTGTATTTATTGTTTACATTCAAGATAGAAAATTTTCAGTCACTATTTCATAAAAAATTTTTTGCTTTTGCCACCTACTCTCTATCTTCTTCTTGGACTCCAGTTACATATATGTTTGACTGATTGATATTGTCCAATAGGTTGCTGAATTTCTGCTTTTGTTTTTGTCTTTTCTCTTCTGTCCATTATTTGCACATTTTCTATTACATTGTCTTTGTGTTCACTGATCTTTGTTTTGCAGCATCTGATTAGCTGTTGTGATTGTACAGGGAATTTTTCCCTATAGAAACTGTATTTGACTTCTCTAGAATTTCTATTTGAGTCTTTTTTTGTATTTTTCATTATATTATATTTTTCGGTATATTCCTGTTTTCCTTTAAAATTTTAAACATATTCTTTGGGTGTGGTGGCTCATACCTGTGGTCCTAGCACTCCGGGAGGCTGAGGTGCAAGGATCACTTGAGGCCAGGAGTTTGAGGTTGCAGTGAGCTGTGATTGCGCCGCTCTACCCTAGCCTGGGTGACAGAGTGAGACCTTGTCTCAAAAAATATTTTTTGAAAACATATTCATAATAGCTTTTAAGAAATCCTTTTCTGCTGTTCCCAGCATCTCTGTCATTTATGGATCTGTCTCTTTTCACTGATTTTCCCCTTTGTGTCAGTCACAATTTGCTGATTTTTTGCATGTCTAGTAATTTTTGATTAGATGTGGGACATTGTGAGGTTTGTACTATTGAGTATTTGGATACTGTTGTCTCTCTTAAAAGTCTTAAAATTTATTTTGGCAGACAAGTAAATTACATGCATTTCTGATTAATCCTTACCAGGTTTGTCCTAAGACTTTTTAGGGCAGTTCTAGAATTGTCTGTACTTTAGAGTTAAATGAGCCCTAGTACTGAGTGAGGTACGGCCTTTCTGACATCTCTACATATTGCTCTGAGTGTTCAGGCAGGTGTGTCTACTCCAGCTGGTTAGAATTTGTATGCCTCTCAGCCCTGTGTTAACTCTGGGAACTGTCTTAATTATAGTTCTTGAGTTCTTTGTCTAGCCTTGTGGATTTTTACTCTATGAATGCACAGATTAGTATTCAGCCAAAGATGCAAGGGGCCCTCCATGCAGATCCTGGAACTCTTTCCTGAACTTTGCTCTGCAGATTCCAGCTGGTTCAGCCTCTGCAAACTCCAATTTGTTTCTCCTCAACTCAGGGAGATCGTGGTGCTTTTCTGGCCCGTCCTGTCTCTTTGATGTTGTTTTAAAGTTGCTTAAATACAGGACAATTGTAATACTCAACTCCTTTGTTTCCTCCTCTCAAAGGTCACAGTCTGCTATTGGCTTAATAACAATGTCTAAAAAATGTGTTTTCAAAATTTTTGTATGATTTTCCATTTGTTTTGGAGAGGAAGAAAATTCTATATAAGTTTCTCCTTCATGGCCAACAGCCAAAGTCATATATTTTTAAAACCAGGATCCAAATAAAGTCCACACATTTTGATTGGTTGGTGTATCTTTCTATCTTTTCTTAATAAATAATTAAGTCAATCCTTTGCCTTTCTCTCTCTTTCTCCTTCCATTTTCTTTCGTTGGGAAAAAAAGTGAAAGGTTTGCTTGTGGAGTTTCCCACATTCTGGATCGTACTGATTGCATTCTCATGGTATCTTTTAATGTGTTTCTCCATACGCACTTCCTGGTAATTGGTAATTGGAGTTAGAGCCTCAATCAGATTCAGATTAGGTTTTCTTTGTAAGACTACTTTAAAGGCGTTCATTTGCTTTCTATTGCAAAAGGCCCATAATGTCTCTCTTTTTATAATCTCAGCAGCCACTGATGCTCCATAACTAGGTCAAAGCACCTCTTTTAATTTGCTAATTTATTGTAGAGACTGGGCCTCAGCTAGGTTGAATTTCTAGACTATGCAAATGGGACTACTATTTCTAGCCATGTACTTGTTTTTAAAATATCGATTACAATGATAAATTTGAGCTCCAATAAAAAGTGGAATGTGTTTTAACTTGCTTAAGGAAAAGTTGGCCATTTTTTACCATCTGCAAGGAGGCCAGTGTGAATTATATCAATCTATATTTACTTTCAAGGTTATTCTCTAACCGAAGCTGGGAGAGAAGGCACCCTTTGGTCTTCTTCAATTAGACAAGAATAGCTTTGCATATCAGCCATAAGACAAGGATGTTTCTGTAGTGCTTAATGGTATGTAAACTTGTTTGTAGCCTAAATTTGTTTAAGTATTTCCTTTCATTCTAGTTTATGGCACTGACTTATGAACATAGGATTTTCTATTGATAAGCACACATGAGTGTCTGTCCTAGCTCTTTTGCTTGTAGGCATGGAATTATTCGTTTTTACAAAGCTACTTTCTCTTACGCTCTTTCATTTCTTTTTCCTCAGGATTTTTCTTTGATATTATCAGCCTAATTTTGTGAGATGTGGCCATGGGGTGCAGAAGATTCAGAGACTTGGAGAAATTCATTTAGCCAGAGCCGCCTCGCCCAGTCTCCCAGTTGCTCCGCACCTGTGCCCACGCACTGAAACACAGGTCTCTAAACAAACAGAGCAGTCTCTCTAGTCTCCCTGCTCACCACACCTGTGCAGAAGAACCGACACGGTTGTTTTCCTATAGGTCACGACTGCATGGGATTTCTTCTGTCAACTCCGTTTCTCTGCAAGCCCTGGAAACTCTGAAATATTTTTCTAGTGTGTTGGTCGATTTTCACTGGTATGCTCAGTATGGCGTGTGTTCTGAGCTGTGCAAGCAGTTGGTCTGGTTCCTCATATTAATCTGCAGGTAACCCTTGTCCTTCTGGAATGCTCCCAAGATCTTTTGTATATTTGGTAAAGCACCATGTTGGTTTCTCAGGGCCTGTGTTTATTTTCAGAGTATTGTGCTATTAGTATTCCTTCCTCCACACACTCCAGGTACACCTTAGAGAGCAATCTTCTCCTCCCCAAGTTAAAATATTTGTTTAGTGTGTGATTTTTGGTCTCGACTTTCTGGAAACCATGTTTTAAAAGCCACTTCAGCCATCTAAACTTAGGTGTGGTGACAACCTCTCAGCATTGATGTGGCTAGTCCTTGGCGGGTGGCCAAATGAGACCTGATTCTCTTTGCTTCTTTGTCCCTCTCTCTTGAGGTAAGTAAAGCTAAAGTTTATTTTCACCATTCACAAGGAAGCGCAGCAGCCATCCGTTCCCGATTTGAGGCGCAGCCCTATTTCACATTTTCTGACTACTTACCCAAAGCAGGCCGATGCTCTGCAGTCCGCACATTCCCGCGTGCAGTCCAGGTCGCACGGCGGCCTGCCTCCTGGGAAGGAGAAATGGCGCAGAGGCATCTTTTGTCAGATACTGTATCCCACTTGTTGATTTTAAAACTATGATCACTAAGTTTTGCTGCAGGAAATGATTTTTTGTCGTGGCCTGGTTCCCCTGAGTCAGAGCCAGAACGAGAGGCTGCAGGCAGGTGGTTTATTCGGGAAATGACACCAAGGGGCAGGTGTCTGGAGCAGGTGAGGAAGGCTGGGAAGGAAAGCTCCTACGGGGTGTGTACTGGGGAGGAGCCCTAGGAAATGCATTTGGGAACTGCCTCCTTTTCCCTGGAAGGGTGAAGATCTTTCCATGACTCCGTCTCCCATTGGTCAAGGGTCGCCGGCGGGTGTGAAGCCCCCGTAGTTCCAGGTGGCTCCCTTGTGAGTGCCCAGAGGTCCCAGCGGACGTCAGAGAGGCTGGGGGCGAGGTGCTGTTGAGCTGCACCTGCCAAGAGAGGCGGGCTGAGGCTAGAACGAGGTGGGCAAGGCTAGAACAAGAGGTGGGCTGAGGGTAGAACAAGGCGGGCTGAGGCTAGAACGCGGTGAGCTCAGGCCAGAAGGAGGTGGGCCAGGGCTAGAACAAGAGGGGGGACAAGGGAGTTTTAGCGGCTCCTGCAAGAGGGGTTAGATATTTTATTGGGGGAGGGAGAAACAAATGTCAGCATATGTAATTTTAATTGAAAATATCTCTTAAGTTTTTACCAGATTTCAATTTGATAGGTGAGTAAAGAGGGAAGGTAGCGTTTGCATTGATAGTGCTGCTGACAGCTCCTTCCCAGGCATTCCGTTCACACGGGTTAAACTACCATGTAGACGTGGCTCTGGTACTGGGAGGAAGCACAGGAGCCCACGGTGACTGCACAAGTAAACGACAACGGTTTCGAGGGGCTGCGTGGTTTACTCTGGGACTGGTGGCAGTTCCAGAAAATCGTGGACCCTTTTCAATATTGTCTTCATCTTTCATTATTTTTTAAAGGCCATTTAAGGATTACTATACTTGTATTGGTAGGATTTGTACAAATTAAACTGTGTTCAGTGGGTTTCATTCCTTTATATGGCCAAATAATATCCCATTGTGTATATGTACCATGTTTTCTGTTCATCAACAGATGAACCCTTAGGTGAGTCCAATCTCGGTTATTGTGAACAGTGCTGCGACGAACAGGGAGTGCAGACACCTCCTCAGCATACCTACCGCCTGCCTTCCCTTCGGATGGATACCCAGTAGCAGGATCGCTGGATCGTATGGTAGTTTTATTTTTAATTTTTGAGGAACCTCCATATTGTTTTCCATAATGGCTGTACTAATTTACATTCTCACCAATAGTGTATAAGAGTTCCCTTTTATCTACATCTCACCGATATTTGTTATTTTTTGTCCTTTTGGTAATAGCCATTCTAACTGGGGTGAGGAGATACCTCCTCCGGGTTTTGATTTGCGTTTCCCTGATGGTTAGTGATGCTGAGCATTGTGTCACATACCTGTTGGCTATTTGTATGCCTTCTTTTGAGAGGTGACTACTCAGGCCTTTTGCCTTTTTAAAATTGGATTATTTGTGGGGTTTTTTTTGTTGTTGTTTTTGTTCTCTTTTTGGTGTTTTTTGTTGTTGTTATTGAGTTGTGTGAGTTTCTTATATAGTCTGGCTGTTAACCCCTTGTCAGATGCATAGTTTGCAAATACTTTCTCCCATTCTATAGGTTGTCTCCTCACTCTGTTGATTGTTTCCTTTGTTGTGCAAAAGCTTTTTAATTTGATGTAATCCTATTCATCTATTTTTGTTTTTGTTGCCTGTGCTTTTGAAGTTTTTTCCAAAAAGATCCTTGCCCAGTCCAAAGTCATGAAGTATTTTCCACATGTTTTTTTTTCTAGTAGTTTCATAATTTCAGCTCTTATATTTAAATCTGCAATCCATTTTGAGTTGATTTTTGCACGGTGAGAAACAGGGATCTAGTCAGTCCAGAATTCCTTGGCAAAGACTTCCTGATTAGATGAGGGTTGAAAATGTCTTGGAGAAACTTCTCTTCAACAGAAGTGGATGGAGTGCTGACTCCGTGCCTCACCCAACACTTTAGTGCTGCAAGATTGCAAAACTCACCATCGAAGAGGAAACCATAGATGTGGATTTTTGGAAAGAAAGTGTAGGATGGTGTGTTTCTCCATCACATGCAAATTGCAACCTTGATTGCTTTTCTGTTTGTGGAGCATGTTAACTGAAGAAAATGGCAAGGTTCTTAAATTTGGAAAGGAGACCTTTATTTCTCATAAAGGGTTGCAGCCTACAGGTGGCCATTCCAACTGCCTGGAAAGCAGAGCCCCGGCTAGAAGCCAGAACACCTTCTTTGAGGCAGGGACAATGGAAACAGGAATTTATGCTGAGCAGGATAGCCAAATATACATATTTAACAAGTTATAGGAGGAGTTATGAATATTTATGAAAGGTGTTGAGCTTTATGCCCCTTTATGGGGTCCATGTTCAGAAAATGGCAGCTCTCTGATATCAAAAGTAGAAGCGAGAACATGAAAACCTTCTCTATGCATGCTCCATAGACTGGTTAAAACCACTACATGGTTGGTGGTCTCTCTCAGGAGAGGATGCTGGTCTGGATCACGAGATTAGTTTCTGTTTCTCCTGTGGGAGAAAGCCTGATGACTGTTAGCAAGGGAGGGGGTGTACTGAGGTGTGTCTGACCTCCCATCCCGTCATGGCTGGGAACTCAGTTTTCGGGTTTCTCTGGGGTCCCCTTGCCTGAGAGGAGGGTCTTTTCCGTCAGTGGGGGGCTTAGGATTTTAGTTCACCAGCTCTTAGTATTTGCTGGCAGAGTCAGGCCGCTAGTGCACACCACCTCTCCTGACGAGAACCTGTGCATACATGGACGCCAGAGCTGAGTGAGAGTGGCCAAGCTGTCCAACATCAAGAGCAGAGTGGGGGTCTCGGCTCAGGCAGTCTGACCACAAAGACCCCGCCCTTTACACTACAAATGACCATCTCCATGTAAGACGTGAGCGAGGGCCAGTTAGGTGCCAGGCCCCGTGCAGAGCCCTGGGTCAACATTTTCCCACTTGGTCATTCCATAGCCTGTAGGTCAGTGCTGTTATTGGCCTGGCTGTCGGGTGTAAATGCAAAGCTGAAGGTAAACAAAGGTCCCTCCTGGTGTACAGTGTTCCTCTCAGTAAGCTTCGTGGTCAACCGTGTTACCAAAATTTTATTCCTGCTGTTGGCCAGAAGGGCTCGATGAGGACATGGTGTACGGAGTGTGAGGCCTTGGGTGAAGTGTGTGCATGAGCATACAGTGTGTGTGTGCATGTGTTCACGTGTACACGCACATGTGTATTCACATGCATACACATGTGTGCACACACACACATATACATTGCTGAAGAGAGGAAGGAGAATTGCAGGAAGGTGCATTTGGGGGCCTGACAACGTGTGTGAGGCTGTTACTGGAGCTCTGCCGCCTGCTTTCTGGCCCTGTTTCTTACTGACCAGCATGTAACTGAGCAAGTCGTCGAACCCATGTGGACGCTCAGTCCATCACCTTTCAGTGTGAGGTTGGACGGGATTATCCCAAAGATCCTTTTCAGCTCAAAAAGCCTACGTATGATTCCAGCAGTACGAATGCTGCACAGCCTAACGACGCCTCACTGAAAGCAGCTTAAAGTGGCCGCGCGCTGGCCACGCCGTTGCCCTGTCTTGCGGACGAGCTGTCCTTCACAGCTCCTGCCATGAATGATGCGCGGCACGTGTGATTTGCTGTGTCAGCTCTTCTAGTGGTTTTATTCTAATCCTCCATCTCAGGCAACTTTGTTCTGGTTGCCTTTCGAAACGTCCTCCTGCAGAGCTGTGCTTGGTGTGACCTCTAACTCTGTGGCCATCAGGGGCTGGTCGTCCCGATGAGCTGTTGCGAGTAAAGCAAGCCGTGGAAATGACCTCTGGGGAAGGCTGAAGGGCTGTGAGCGCAGCAGCTTCTTGCTGAAGCGAAGCGATCCCTGGGGAGGAGGTCTGGGGAGGCCAGGCCCTCTGAACTCAGGATGCCCCCGTGGGTTGGTCAACATTGACTTAGATCTTGTCGAAATATCCAGAAGTACTTCTAAGTGGAATGTTTTTGGTCACAAAAACAGTGTAGATGCTTTTGTCTTCCTTCAACAGAGGACTTTGGAGGTCTCGGGCTGGTGTCCCTCCCACCCTGCAGGGTGCAGGCCATCCTGGGCTCCTGGCTCCAGAGGTGGCTCTCACCACTTGGCGAGGGTGTGAACATGCTCCGCATGCCTCAGTAGAGACAGCAGGAGCTGTGCTGCCTGGAAGGGCTTGCGGGGAGATCAAGGAGAAACGCATGAGAAGGTGCATTGTGAAGTGTGCTGGGTGGGGGCCTGGTGGGATGAGTGGGCGGGCATGGAGGTACCCGCACCTGGGTTTGGATTCCACTGTGGTCACTGGCCAGTTAGGTGGCTTTGGGAACTGCTCAATCCCCAAATCCAGTTCCCTCCTTTGTTAAGTGGGTGACATTAGGGACCTCCCTGGGTTGCTGTGGGGATGGGATGTGCATTTGCAATGCTCAGCAAAGAGTGGGCAATTTCCTCTAAGTCTGAAATGCTTCACAAAAGAAGGGCATTACTATAACAAACCTACCTGAGGCCAAACAAGGAGTGTGGTGGGGGAATGCTGGGGACTGATAAGTAGGTGTCAGCAAAGGAGGGATTGTTTCCGTCCTTATAGTAAATTAAGAAGATCGCCTTTCTCATCTGTTACTTCCAAGGAGTTCTGATGTTCTGGGGAATTTTCTCTGAATGAATCCTAGCATTGTTTCATTTACATTATAACTCTGCAGTCCTGTGTAATTAAAGCCAAAGATAGAGGCTTCTGGGACCATGAACAGCTCAGGAATAGACACTGAGGCAAATAATGGTAGATTCCAGGGTCAGGCAGCAGCTGAAGGGCGCTCCTGCACACAAAGGAGGCGGCAGACCGGAGCTGGGGGACGTCCTAACTGTTGCTGTCCT